AGCTTCTTGTGGCTCTTACCTCTTTGATACCTCATCAAGCAAAATTCCTGGTTCAGTGTCTTTTAATTCTGTTCTGGTGCTACAGAAGAAGTTTCATCTCTGAAGTGTGTGCAGGGGATGGTTAAGGACTGTACAGCTAGCTGTGGTGCTCTCTGTACTCTATGCATTATGCCATTCTCATTATATAACAATTTGTAGGGCAGCAGGTCTTGTTTCTGTGTATCTTCTCGTTCCCTGTGGCTCTGACATCAGTTCCTAGCAGGAGAGGATGGCTTTTCAGTTGAGCAAAGTGCTATCAAGTGTCTCATTTGCTATTCTGTCATTTTAGAGTGGCAAATATGAATAAGGAACGTATCTGCTGTCTTTTATGAATGTTTTCATTTTTCTGCTACTCTTTGCCTCTGCTAAATTTAAAGAAGCTTGGGGTGCCGTGTCTAAACACATACTTCTTTGCAGCCAGTGTGAACTCCCATGCTGTCACTTGTTGATCATTGTCAAGATATTTCACTTTGTCAGGTACACCAAGGAAGATAAGTTCCATGTAGACAGAATGCCAGATAATAAAGCTGCCTCACAAAAGTGCATACAGAATATGTACAGACTTCTGTCACTCAACATTGAAGATATGTATACTTTCCCTCCTTTTTGAAGAGCCTTAAATTACCATTCTTTATGGATGTTATTCTTGTAGACTCTGTAAAGAACATGCCCTTTGTGCTATGTGCCAGCCTAGTGCCTCTGATACCCTAGAGTGTACAGAGCCAGCTGAAGTGTAGTTAAGGTGCACCAAGGCCACTAAAGTGGCATTAAAAGGCAATTAAAACTTTCCCTATGTTTATGCTGTCATTGCATTCCATGGAGATCAAGGGTTCACTTAAATGTGTGTGGGTTGTCAGATGTGTCATGGGCCTTACAAGAGATCCAAATCTCTTTGGATTATCATCTGGAGACCAGGGTATGTCACAGAACCTGGAATTATTTAGTCATGTAGGTTTAGCAATGCCTTCTGATAAGTAAACATGCTGTTTTGACACGCCACCCATTTTGCTATAACATAAGGCAAACAGATCCTTCACCCAGCATGTCCACAGTTGCATTAAGCACAAATCATGCTCTAATCTGCATTTACTATTCTGAATAGGCTCCATTGAGAGTGTGGATCCCTGGTGTACACTTAAATTTATATGCCTAAATTCAAGCTACATCCCAGTTTTAGATTCCTTTGATGGTCAAGAATAAACCATCTCGGCACTGAGTTTCAGCCATGACTTTAATTCCAGTGCATAGAATGATCTTGATAACACCACAGTGTTATTATCTTTACCCAACTTAAAATTTAAAACATCCCATTTGCTTTCAGATTGTGTGCCATTTTAGCAGCTGCTAAAGTGTCAGCCTTCTTTAAAGCAATTATATAACCCAGAGAAAATTTCTCTGGGCTGGTGCTATTCTTTCCCTCTTTCGTCTTTTCTGTGCACACACATCTGCTAACTCCAGAAAAGTGATCAAATACATTGATCTTATATATCTTTTTACTGACTCACTGTTACTGACTTATCTTTTGCAACAACATGGATGTAGGCACCACTTTATGATGGTAGACTGGAAGCTGCAAAGCTAGGGAAATTTCTCTTTGCCGTCTTACTGTCAAAGATTAGCAGTGGGTTTGTCCCAAATCCCAATTGCAAACTTGTCCTTTGTCTGTAATATTCACAGATATTGGCCCCGCAGGCTTTAGCTATTTACACTTATCCTGTCCATTTCTGAAGCGTTTTTTACTGTTATGTGCTCTTGTGTTTTTCCACTCAGTGTTTTCTTAGATTGCGCTATTCACGCAATGTGGATGCGTCTTGCTATGGTATAAGAGTACAGCAAAGAAATCAGAAGTCTGTTGACAAGATATAGAAAATCTGGGCTGACCATTTAACTGGAACCGAACAGCTGTTAGCCCTCCTGCAGGGTTCAGAGAGGGTCCTAGACAGGAAGCAGACCAACCAATTAATGAAAACTGCTCTAATCGCTAGCTAAAGCTAGGAAAAAGTGGGGATATTTCCACAATAGAAGCAATGTTACTTTTTGTACTGTCAAAATATACGTCCGGGTAACATCCTCAGGCAAGCATGGCTTTTTCGAAAATGTCAGCCACTCTCATTTATATTTAAACTAAAACCTGAACATTAAAACCGGAGCTGGTTTTTTTTTTCTTCATTTTTAGCAGCCAGAAATCTATATTTAAAAAAAAAATCAATTTCTCTTTGTGCTTTGAAATGAAAATAATACTGCAGAGAGCGTAAGAGACACAGGATGTAATGCTAATATTAAATAAAATAGCAGTGTATTTCATTAGTATTTCTAATAAGATAATGAAAGTGCTAAAAATATTTTCCCTTTTTCATAAAAGGTTGTAGGTGTATTATAAACAGTAAATGCACTGAAGATATGCATAGGTTGTTCTTAAGAGTTTCTTTATACTAGTATGCTATTTTAACTCTTAAGTGTTCAAATAGTCTGTCAATTTATGTATTTAATTTAGGCCTTAATTACTTATAGACTAGGATGAACAGTTTGTACTAGGTTTCTTGGATGCTTTCGTGTTTCAAATGCACATGTTTCAAATTACAAAAAGGACTATTAGGGTGATCTGGTGCTTTCAAGGCTTTTCTATGTATTTCGGCTCATCTGACCTTGTTATAAGCCTTCAGGTACTTCTGACGTTCATAAAAACAAGTGACTACATGCAGAATTTCAATTTCCATAAAAAAAATAGCTTATGTCTGGTTTGATATATCTTCTACTTGTTAATATCTACGTTCAGTGATCAGTGCCCTCTTAACATTTTTGGATCTTCTGTACATCAGCCTGCCATGGGTGGCTGTGGCAGCCCCACTAGATGTGATGGGGCTGTAGGAGTTACCCAAGTGGTCTGTTATTCAGGAGCATTGTGCAATTGTTTATTTAGTTTCTGTACACCTGTGATCATGTATAATGCATATGAGATTGTATAATGCGTTTGAGAAATGGAAATAAAAAGGTGAGTGGTTTTTGTATGTGTTTCATGCTGATGAAAAAGATAAAGATATTGTTTGATTTGGGGGGACATCCTTACATCTGACATTTATTGTCATCCCTTCTTTGTTAATGAGTGAGCTTGTTAGGAAGGCAGACTTGATAGTTTTTCACCTTCACAGATGTTACAAAAACAGCATACCCAGGAAGAAAGGGAATTACAAATGTTTCCCAGTTATAAAGAGTCTGGGAGAGTATATCTGGAAGTGGTGTGCTTGCCTGTTCTCACAGTCTTCCCTAGGTATCTGCTGTTGCCTTCTCCTGGAGACAAGACCTTAGAAGAGGAAGACTTTAGGCTAACCCTGTGCAGTGTAGCTTTTCTTGTATTCTTACATCCTTATTTACAATACAGTGAATTTAGATTATCAATGATCTTATTATCTACATGCCTACATGCAGCATTATTAACCCCAGCTTGGACAGAAATGTGGGTTTGTTTTTTAATTGCAGCAGAAAATCTGAGCCAGCATTTATATGCTGTTCAACAGACAAAAAAAAGGATGGTGTTTTTATGAGTGACATACTAGCTGAAAGGTCATGATGTATATAATGAAGTGATATTAATATTTCTACTCAAGAGCATATTAACTTTTTATCTAAGAAGTGAGATGGTGCTGTGCATGGATTTGTGCTAAGAAGATCCTCTGTCCTGATCATATATTTAGATTTTAACAGGACTGCCCCAGAAAGTGGAATCAGCTTGTACCAATCCAGTTGCAGGGATATGGTCTGTTAGGTCCTAGTTATTACAGCGTTTGGTATATAATGTGGTGAGGCACTAAAACACGTTGCTCAGACAAGTTGAGGCTGCCCCATTCCTGAAAGTGTTCAAGGCTAGGACCTTGAGCAACCTGGTCTAGTGTAAGGTGTCCCTGCCCTTAGCAGGGGGCTTGGAACTAGATGATCTTTAAGGTCCCTTCCAACCATAACCATTCTATGATGGTGTGATGCTATGATTCTAGAAGGGGTAGAATTTGAATAATGGATAACACAATGTTCAAGAAAGTTATTATATGCAGCTAGGTCACTTGAGTGCACCCTTAAATAGGCATAACATTGTATAAGCAATGTTTACAGATATCTTAAAAACAAAGATACCACTTGGGAAGCTCAGATATAATTGCTATCATTATTCAATGTGTTATCTCTTGAGGAGAGTCATGTCTTTTTAAACACTATAAAAGACTTTTCGCAAAGGATATTCAGTATATTAAAAGTCATGATTTTTTTACAATGTTTTTAATTCAGCACAAGTAACTTTACCTTCTTAATTATCCTTACAGCATCTTGGTGAACGTGAAAGTAGAATTTAAACTACTGCTTGAGATTTTCAATCCTATGTGTTGCATTATTTAAGCAGAATAGAAATTCTTCTTTTGGATTTAACATATACCTATGAAAACACATAGTATAAATCCAGAAGCAGTGATATCTCACTGAAATTCTACAAAGCTTGCTTATACTGTTGTGTTAAAAAAACATGTGGTTCTATAACTGGTAGAGGGAAAAGTCAAGTGGCTCCATTATCTTTTTAAAGAGAACCAAAAGATTTTCATTTATCTCCATAAAGATTTTGCAAAGTCATCATTTCCAAGAATGCTGCAATTCCATTTGTACAAAAGAAGAGATAAAAAATATAAAATGGTTTATATTTCCAAAAGCCTTACATAATCCTAAAGCCTTTTTCTACCGTTATCTTAGCACCTTCAAAAGAGATATGGGCTGTAAAAACGGATCTGCATTTCCTTTTCTAATTGGAGTTGACCCATCCTGGTCCAGTTTGATGTCAAGACTCAGATAATAGCAGAAAAAGTGATTATGAAAAAACAGGAAATCTTTCACAGCTAGTCATAAGTTTTGCCACTAAAGCAAGTTCTTTATAATTGCATTAAGCAAATGTGTATAGCTTACAGTCTGTGTTCTTGTTTCCACAGTGCATACATTATAACAGACTTCATGGGCATCAGGAATGAAAATTTTATGAAGGTAGCTGCAGTTGGGACTTGGATGGGAGATTTTGTCACAGCATGGATGGTAAGAAATACAATATTACATCTTAAAAGAAAAGAAATGTGCTTGTTGGTTTCAAGGGAAAGAGGAGAAGAGAGAAAACTCAATTTCTTGGAGTATTCAAGTATTTCAAGCCAGACGAGCAGAAAATTAACAAAGGCAAAGTAGCATAAGGCAGGGCGCTTAATTAGCTGGGAGTCCAGCATTAACATTTCAGTTACAATGTATCAGAGCAACAATTCATTTCTTCTGCTGTGAGTGGGAATTTTGCCATTGACTTTTGCGAGGATAGCACCAGTCCTCACCCTCCTTGTTATGGAATAGCACCATGAATTGCTATCTGGTGAAACAGTGAGTAACAGTTGATGGTAAGCAAGTCTAATGAAAAGGATTAAAAAAGAAGAAAAATTAGACTGAAAGATGTGACAAAGATCAATGGACATGAGAGAGAGCAAGCAAGCCAGTTACATCCCAGAATTTGAAGGTATGAAATTATCAGATTAAGTTTGCCTCTAATTAAGGATTTAGAAGTATGACGCCTTCAGTTGGATTATCACTGTTATAAAGGTTCCCTCCTGAAACATGGGCAACCCAGAGATCAGCTTAGTGAAAAAGAACCAGAAAATGACAGCTAACTGGGAACGAAATGAAGCATGTGCACATGTTTTTCTTGTTCAGGAAAAGCATTTCTTAAACACAAAGCAATAAAAAATTGATTCCATTGTATTTTTTAGTAAGATTAGGTTTTTGTGATTAGTGTAGGGAAGAATTTTAACAATTATGACTATGACATTATTTTAAATTGGAGAAAAAGTCCACAATTTTTAAGCAGAATTGGTTTGAATGAATCTCTTTTTTTCCCTAATGATTTATTGATACCTCTGTTTGTTTACTCAGAAGAATCAACATAATTTTAGACAAATTCATTAGCAGTAGGAGCATTGCTTGATGGTGAATGTTTATCACACATCACATGAAAAGTTTTAGAAAAAAAAATCTCAGCACTGTATGTACTTAGTGACTGTAATAATCTCTGATGTAAGCAAAGGAACAGGACAAGGTGGATAAATTTTACGACTGTGATATGTGTTAGGAGAAAACACTGTAGGAATGACTGTAGGATGCCAAGACTATAGTCTGTACGACTGTATGGGAAGTCTTAGTAGGGTCATCCAGTTTTCTGTCAGTTTATCTTCTCCACATATTTTGAACATACTGTACAACAGACAGAAGAAAGAGAAAAAGCATCAAAGATTTTTTCAGCATGTTGTTCATTATGTGTCAGTGGTTTGTCCAAGACAAATTATGCTCTGTGAAATGGTGGCTATGGAAAGCAAGTGCAGAGCAAATCATTTGCCACATACATTATAGTATGGATGTTGCAGAATTGATGCATTGACTGGTGTTAGCAATTGATGTGGATTTCTTATGAATAAAATGCATGGCTACTTCTGAATACTTTTAGCTTGACCCTTTTTCTTTTTGAGATTCCACAGCTTTATCCCACTATCAAAGGAGAGATGCTGCACAAGCTAAACTGAATTAAGAGGGGTCATGTTCTTCATACATGTGTGACATAGCACTCCAGTAGTAGGTTGCATACAAATTGCACTTTATTAGGTAGTGTTCAATTTTTTCAGTTCCTCTTTTCTCACTTCCTTGAGAAAAACTGTTACATGCAGCACTATACAAAGCATGGAAATGGCTGGATTCAAGAGGCATCAGAATCCTAATCCTTTTCTGTGTACTCAAAGCCCTCTTGGGTCTTTTCAGCAACGGAAGCACAATTGGACTGCGGATGGTAGATTACAGTGGTGGATGGAGTTATCACCGAAGAATGAAAGAGCCAGTGTGAAAAGAGGAGACTATTTGCAAACTAGGCTGGTTCTGTTAGCTTTTAGGAACAGGAAAAGGCATGGGATTGGAGATTCAGGATGTTATAGGACATGCTTTAATTGCATGAGGACAATTAAGAGGTTTGGTGATTGGTATTTAGATCTTCAGAGCAAAAGAGAATAGTGAAATTGCTACTGCAGGGCAAATCTATAGGCAAAGCATGCGAATCAGTCAATGGAAATTACAGTATTTAATGGCAGCTAAGCATAGGAACATCAAAAAAGCTACAATATCAGGTAGAGAGGTATTAGTAATAGAGGCGATCGGACATGCAAACCTCCACAAGAGCCTAACTTTGGCAGTCTTATTCTCTATGAACAGAAATTATCCTATTGTTTCTAATCTTTGAATTTGCTTGACTTTTTGCATGTAAAGCTCAGCATGGACTTGATATCAAAGTGACATAAGTCTTCTGTGGGATTATTATATTTTACGTAATTCTCCATTCCGGTTTGTAAATGGGAAAGAAAAGCAAACCTGTAAAGGAACCTTTGCACATCTTTCCCATTCACAGCAATGATTATGTTTTCTAATAATTAAGAAGTTTCTGTAAAGAATCCACCCACCCTTAGACTACAAAGGAAAAGATGAAAAAGCAGATGGAGCCTTCACTTCAGTGCATTTGAACCATACTGGAATTAGGATCTTATTCCGTATTTAATTGGGAACCTTGGAAATAATCAGGAATAAAGCAGAACAGATGGGTTTCCATTATAAAAATGACTAACCGGTAAACAATAATATTGTCCTAGTACAGCAAGGAGAGGCTTAGTAAGTCAGGAAAGTGCCTGAAATGGGAAAACATGTTTTGGATTGCTGATTGTTTTGGATTTGAAGGCAGAAGTGAGCCTTCCACCTCAACATTTTCTAACTCACTGACTAGTTTGGTGACAGGATCTGACTCAATTCCTAGTAAAATCAGCAACGCTCTTTCCATTGTGTATAGTAAGAATGGGGCCATGCCATGGGTGCACAGGAGCTTCTTCTTTGGGCCTCTGGACAGGAACTTCTGCTACTAACATTTGTCTTTGCTGAAATCTGTAGTGTTAGATGTTCTAAATAATGCTGTGAAGAACAGAATGGGTTCAATATACCAACCCCCTTTCTGCACTTTTTCCTCTTTGAAGCCAAGGAAGTATATTCTGCACCTGCTTTGACATGCTCTCCCTCTCTGATAAAATGTGCATTCTGTTCTCATGGAGAGTGCTTTTGAGGAAGACACCATAGGATTGAGCACAGCAGGATAGCTTTGAAAAAAGGTTGGATTCCACCCAGACAAGCCTATAAACTAGCAATTATGGCCACCTTCTGGGAGAATGTAAGAAGGCTGAGGAAGGAGCTGATTCCAGAGCAGAATCTCTCATGATTAGAGTCGGGTGGACTCCTGACCCCTGTCCGTACAATTGAGCAGCCTGCTGCAGCTGTGTTCTTGTGAGGGACACAGCCCTGAGCATGTGTGGTAAGGCACACTCCTACAGGAGTGGATGGCACTGAGCATTGACAACAGAGGGCAGGGTACAATGAGAACCTCCTCTTTTTCACAGCCTCCTGGTGTGGTGCAACTGCCTGCTTTCCTTGTTCTTCCCTGGCAGTGTTGGCGTTTAGACTGTCAAAACTGTTGCTCTCCGCTTTGGGTGATGGCTTTTTTGGCTCTCCACAGACTACATATTGGCCCTGAACTATGAATAATACTTGTATCACATTGAGAGATGTGATGAAGTAAAGGATGATTTAATTTATTATTCATGAAACTAGTATTTACCAAATCTGTACCAGCATGTTCTTTTTAAAAAGGAGAAGCCAAGACTTCTCTCAGCACTGCGCTTTAGCACAGTGCTTGGCACAGTGTCTTAGAGTGTAAGTTGAATCAATGTCACGATTGTTGGCTGTTATTCCTGACACTTTCACTTGATTTCAGTTTTTTTTCCTCGCTTAGGACAATGAAGAACATGAGGACCATTTTTGTCTTTCATCATTTTAGCAGAGGAATTAGTAGGAATTTAGTAAATAGTACTTCCAATGTAGTCTGGATGGAAGGTTGATAGGTCACAGCTTGTTTCACTGACCCGTTATCCAGGACTGACATAGACACATCCTGTCCTCCTGAATGGATATGGAGTTAGAGACCTTCTACCTAAGATTTCTTATCAGGACACAATATAAGCATTCCAGAAGGTTATTACTAAGTGATGAATCCACACCTACTTTTCCTCATTAGTGGAACTGGACAGTGAGCCCATATAAACAAGTTGCCTGGGCTTCTGTGCAGTTTTCAGGCAAAAGAGTCAATTCATTAGGTGAGCATGCCTACACATTGTAACATATAACTTGTGGTAGAATGCTGCTCCCCTTGATAAAGCTTATCTGTCCTGTGAGAAGAATTTTCTGTTCTCTGAGATTTTCAGTGCTCGCTGAAAATGCTCCAGAATATGTACTTACCTGGCCAAATGGACCAGGTTTTCAGTCTTGTAATTCCAGAGGATAAATCTCGCACCACTATGTGTTCTAACTGTGCTAGTTTTGAAAGAAATAGATTTTTTTCTGTTCTTTTCATTGAGATTTCTCTGTTTGGGATTTTTTATCTTCATCCTCTGGTGATGGAGGATTCTGTATTTTCCCATGAGACTAGCATGACTTACATGGCTGGTCACAGTGTATCTAATAGCAGGAGTTGCCTGTGGCTGGCTCATAAATAACACTCTAGAGGGCTGAAGCCTGTCCACATCGTCCTTGATGTTATTAACATCAAGAGCTGACAGGTTTAAGTGAATGGTTACTGCCATACAAGCACACAGTAAGTCTACAGACTCCTAAACCATAACTTTCTGTCATGTGCACCATGCTAGAACTCAGGCTGCATCTGTGAGAACGTAAGAGTCATTCTTGGTCAGACCAAAAATCCATCCAACCTCATCCTGCCTCAAAATGCGACTATGAGCAGAAACCTACCAGGCAAGTAAGAACAAGCCAGTCATGTATGGTAGTGTCCTCTAAAACCTCTCTCCAAACGCATGCAGTTTTGTGTATATAATAACTCTTGATGAATGTCTCTTCCCTGTTCTTGCCTGATCTCGCCTTTAGCCCAGTACATTTTTCAGCATCCACAGAATTATTTGGCAACAAGTGTC